AGGAGAATTACAACAGGGAGATCTACCTTCTGGTTTTCCAACCAGGCTCTACTTCCTGATGAATCAACCTGAGAGCCCTTGATAATGGGGGAAGCTATGCATCAGTAGGGACAGAGGATATATGGGAAACCTCTTTACCTGCCTCTGAATTTTGCTGGGACACTAAAACTGCCCTAAAAGAAAAATTCTAAAAAAAAAAAGGTGCCATAACTTTTGCAAATCCATACATAAAAAGCTAAGGAGCAAAAAAAATATGAATCTCAGTCCCTATATCACATTGTACACAAAATAACTCAAAATGCATTGTAAATATAAGCATAAAAGCTAAAATGATCAAATTTCAGAGGAAAATATAGGACAAAGTCTTTGTAATTTTGGAATGAAGATTTCTACTAGCCATAAAAGAAGAATGTGAACATACTAGACTTGATCAAAATTTAAAACATTTGGACTTGGACATAGAGCATTAAAATTAAAAAGCAAGTCATAGATTGGGATAAAATATGCATAACACAAAAATCTGACAAAGTATTTGTATCCAGAATATACAAAAAGTCTTTAAAACTAATTAGACAATTTTAAGATGGGCAAAAAAATAATTAACATTAACATCGTAGAAGAAGATACACAAATAGACACATTAAAAAATGTTGGGCCTGGGGCCAGCAGATGATTTGGAGGGTAAGGTGGCTAGATTCCACATGGCTGACTGAGCAATTTGAGTCTTGGACCCAGCAGCTTGAAAATCTCACCAGGCTGGTGTGCGTGCATACCCAAAATCCTAAGAAGAGAATGGAGGACTTAAGATTATGGCTTGGCCTTCCCACTTGCCCAGGTGGTGGTTTCTCACTCTCTGTCTGGCAAGCACACACACCCTATAGCAAGCTAATATATGTATTGTGTGTGTGTGTGTGTGTGCGCGTGAATGAATGAAAAATATAGATAGATAGATAGATAGATAGATAGATAGATAGATAGATAGATAGGTAGGTAGGTAGGTAGGTAGGTAGGTAGGTAGGTAGATAGATAGGACCAGCAAATGGCATGGAGGTTAAAACAGTTGAATCCCACATGGCCGACTACCATTTGAATTCTGGTGGCTTGAAGACATTGGGTGCACGTGCATGCATGCCCAAAATCCCAAGAGGAGAATAGAGGAGATGGGATTGGGCTTGGCTATCCTACCTGAGGGTTGATTTCTCCCTTTCTCTCTGTCTCTGGCAAGTGCATGTGCCCTATGGCAAAAAATAAAAAATGAGTGCTTAGGATCACTTAATTGTTAGGGAAATGCAGGCTCAGAGCAATGAGGAAGAAAAGCACAAGGAAGATATCACTTCATACCCACCAGGTTGTCCACACCTAAAAAGGCTCATATCAGGTATGTGTGAGGATGTGGAGCCAATTCTCCAGAACTCCCTTACATTGCTGGTGGGTATGCAAAAAATACAAAAAGAGGAAGAAGAAAAGAAACTGGACAATTTGGACATTACGAAGGTAAATGTAGACTTATATGATACAGCAGTTCTACTCTAGGTATTTGCTGAAGAGAAATTAAAACATGTCTACACACGAGCTTGTACATCAATGTTTATAGCACCTTTGTAATAGTCAAAAATTGGAAAAAATTCAAATGTCTATGAACAGATAGTATGGGTAAACGACTTTTGACATTCATAGCAATGCCAGGCAGAAGTGAAAAGAAATGAAGTATTGATATACAAAACATGGATAAATTTTAAAATAGTTATGCTAATGACAGAAGCCAAACAAAAAATATATACTATATGATTCCATTTACATGAAAATCTAGAAAATGAACTAATATATAGTGACAGGAGGCATATCAGTGGTTTGGAGAGGGAGGAGGGCAAAGGAGGAATACAGTACAGTGGGCCATGAGAAAATACCTCGTAGTGATGGGTGTTTCCACAGCCTGATTGTGGTGATGGCTTCAGGCAGTATACTATGTCAAAACCTTGCACTTTTTTCTACATATAGTATAACTTCATAAAATTAAAGAAAAAGAGAAGTCAGGGGGCTAGCAGGTAGCATAGTGGTTAAGGTGCTGGACTCCCACGTGGTTGACCAGGGCTCAAGTCCTGGACCTGGCAGCTTGAAACTTACACTGGACATGTTTGTATGCATGCCCAAAATCCCAAGAGGAGAATAGGGAAGAAGGGATTGCAACGTGGCCACTCCTCACCCTCCAGGGGCGGGGGTGACTTCTTGCTTTGTGTCTCTTTGTCTCTCCAGCAAGCACAGGTGCACACAAAAATCTCTCACTAAAAGAAGTCAGCTGTTGTTAACCTTTTCATCTTAGGTTTACATCTTCCTGAGTATATTCAGTATGCCTGATTCTACATGTATTACTTTCAGATGATTCATTCCGGACTCGTAATTCCAGTAGTGTTCCAACTTCTTTTTCTGCTAATACTCCCCTACCAAGTACCTCCCGTGGCACAGGCAACTCAGCTGATCTAAAGAGCAATGGAAGTAAGGACACACAACCACGGAAAGCTACCTTGTGAGTAACCACGTGATGTACTGCTGAGTGATAACCTACCTTTCCCAGCGGACTTTCTTTCCCACTTAAATACTTTGTAAGCATTTGATAGAAAGTGAATGAATATGGAAGATTCACTGCTGAGTGAAGCAAGTCAGGCTATGAAAGAGAGACACTGTGTGTCCCCACTGTATACGTACCGATTGCCCGCACTCTATGGTGGGAACAGAAAGATTAGAGGATATAGAAGCATGGAAACAGTTACGGATATGGAGAAAGTGTGGGAAAAGGGTAGGAGATGAGGGAGAGCGAGAGGAAAGGAATCAAGGTGAGAAATAGAGGACATTTGAGGGCCACAGAAATGGAGGATTGTCTGTTGATGGTGATGTGTATGATATCTTCAGTTGGACTGGTGGGAAGTGTGTTCACCTTGGGTAAATTCATTTTACAGGCTCTAGTGATATGCAGTGATTGAATGTATAAAATAAAATAATAATAAAAAACAAACAAACAAAATATATAGAGGTAAATTCCGCCACCCCCAAATAAAATATCCGTAATGAGGTCACATTCTAAATTAAAAGGGATTATTATCACATGTGACTCTGATATGTTAACTAGTTTATGTAAGATGACTTATATATGGGAAAACAGTATAACCTTAGGGAATCAACATGAAGCATTTAAATAGCTCTCACTACTATCTGAGATCTGTTTTATTTATTTTTTTTTCACTACAAAATGTTTGTGTTCAGGGGATTTAACTCTGGGAGAACACTGGGTATAAACTCGTAATTTAATTATATGGCATTTAATCACTGAGTGCTCAGAAAGACGGCATTACTGATGCCACTGAAGAAGTATCACTGCAGAGGGCCTGGCCGTGGCACAGGGCTAACACATGATGGTCAGTGAGGGCTGATCTTCGTGGGAAGGTTCTAGGTTTGCATGCAGTTGATCTGGAGCTGACTGAGGCTGTGGCTGGAATGGCATCAAGACTCGTTCAAGGGTCTCTTTCTGTTTCTCTCAGAAGAAAGAAAGAAACAAACAAACTAAAAAAGAGGAAAATAAAAACTATTATTACAGGCCCAGCCATGGGCTGGTTGATTTGTCAGACTCAGGCCACATGGGAGGCCTGGGTTTGATTTCAGCCCACCCTAGGAGCTGGGCACATTAGTGTACATCTGTAGTCCCAGCTACTAGACAGGCTGAGGTGGAGGGGATTGTGGCATAGTGACAGCCTGTTAAAACAGTGAAAAAGAAAAATGAATACAGCATAGAACCCAGAGTTGTGGGTTCACTGAACAGAAGATATTACAGACTCCACTTGTGCTTTCAAGTTGAAGTTATTCTTCTTTTCCCCCCATGGTTTCCTTTTATGCTCTGTTTGTATCTTGTCCGAATTCTTGAAGCCTTTGTTTCTTTTAGCTTAAATATTTAAAAGGGTAATATCATAAAAATCACCATTAGTCTATATCAAAGCATGA